TATTTGTGGTTTGTTTATTTTTTATGCTTTGGTTGTGGTTTGCTTTTTATGTATGGAATGTTTTGAATAAAAAGGAATTTTGTTGAATATTTTCTTTCACTAAAAGAAAATCAATACAACTCATAAAATAAAATACATGAATTACCACTAATTTTTTAAACAAAACAAAAAATAAAATGAAATGAAATGAAAGGCAAGCAAACTAACTTAATGGTGCAATGAAATGAAAGACAAGCAAACTAACTTAATGGTTTTGATCATTTAACCAATCCGTGTTGCTAGGTCCATCGTCACGAAGAAGTCTTCGTCTCATAACATCCCTTCGTTTTAGCTTCCAAAATTGTTTTGTTTCAGGGGACATATGGCTTGTACCCATGGCCATGGTTTCCCGATCATTTTTTTCAATCTTTTCTTGGCATGCATACTCTCTTTCCTGGCATATATACTCCATTTCTTTTGCATATTCTACATCAATTGCCCTATCGTGCTCTTGTTGTTTCATGTCCATTTCAATTCTCATGACTTGCAACTTTGAAAGTTCCTCCAAAAATTTAGATGCATTCTTGGTAGAATTACTCCCTCTCTTCGCCTTCACCGCCTTCCTCCCAATAGGCCTCGGCTCCTTTTCGATAGGTGAGTCTTGATTCATCGGGGAATCCGTAGGTGAATTCGATGCCCTTGTCTCATGGAGTAGCGTCTCGTTCAAGACTACCGTGGGACCGTTGGAATAATTTGGAATCTCTTACAATTCTTCACCACCTCCCAACATAGGGTATGGTTGAAACTTTTTTTGCCTTGCCCAGTAGCACCAAAAAAAATTTGTGCTTGCATAATCTATAAAAAAAAAATGGAAATGCAAGAAACTTTAAAAAATATTGGCAATGCAACAAGTATAAAAAATAAATAATGAAAATATAAGAAACTTTAACAATTTATTAGAAATGCAAAACAAAATATAAATATTGCAACAAACATTCATATTAATATTGGAAATACAAGAAATATTAAGAAAATATATAAATTGCAAGAAACATTTAAATAAAATTTAATATGACATAGAAATTAATAAAACAAAAATTACAAATAATTTACCTCACTGATAAGGTTTTCCCCGCTTCTATGGTTGTCCATCGCTTTTGCCAAGGCATCTCTCTATTTCGCCAACTCTTTATTAAGAATTTTCCACCTACTAGATAATGCCATTTTCGTATGAGTCAAACTAATTACCCTTTCACAAAAATCCTGATGAATTTTTTTCCATATATGACAAAATTTCATCTCATTGCCCGTTACGGGACAATGACTAATGTGGATCCAAGACTCACACAAGCTAACATCTTTCATGATGCTCCATGCCCCTTCGGTTTCACTAGAAGAATCCATAAATTTTTCTAGAAAAATACAACTTGAAAGTGAAAAAAATATTGAGTAGAAAGTGAATAATAGTAGAAGGAGAAGAAAACATATGAGGAGTTGGTTTAAAAGTGAAGAGTATTGGTTGGTATTTATAGAAAAAAATTTCAGTATTTTTTGGGTTTTTTTTTTAAATTTAATTTTTTAAATTTTTTAAAATTTTTTAAATTTGAGAAAAAATTGGTTGCCGTTGGATTGCTGAAAAAAAAGGGATACGAGAGCCCAGAAGGAGCCACGTGGAAGAGAGCCGTTGGGGGTGCAGTTCGATTTTTTTTCATTTTTTTATTGGCGAAAAAATGGCTGTTGTTGGATTGCTGGAAAAAGTGGATCGGAGAGCCCAGAAGCCAGCCACGTGGAAGAGACCCGTTGGGGGGCACTGTAGCGGGCGTGTCAATTTTTTTTTTTAACGTTAAAAAAATTTAAACCCCAACGCTGACGTCAGCCCAAAACGAGTTTTGGTGCTCGGGCCAAACCTCCCCAAGGGCCAGCCCAGTTCGCTGGGCCTCACAACTTGCCCTGACAGATTTTTGTTACTGGAAACACCATTTTGGGTTTGCCCACCCCGAACCCCACCCCCCTCTGCTGGAAATGCTCTAACTTGGAGCAAAGTTATCAGAGGAGGAAAACTAGAAAAAGCTTTGGGCCTCCAACATAACTCCTATAAATACTTTGGGCCTTTAGGCCTCAAAGTTTCCAGTTTACCGAAAATACCCTTAAAATTTCTTTAGAAGAACTCAGTGGAGCAGTGTGGTGCCGCCAGAAGAAACATCTGGGAGGAGCTACAAAGATGGAGAGCTGAGAACCCGCCCTTCGCCAAAAGCAAAGAACCCAAAACACAGAGGCCTCTCCAGACCCCAAAACCTCGAGCTTTTTCAAAATGAGTACCATGAAATTTTGCCGCGAATGGTCAGTAAACTCAGCATTTATCGTCTTCCTCATTCACATACACATGCACAACAAACCCTGATTTTTAAAACTTGTTTGAGAATTTTGTTTTTGGTCTCTGATTTGGTTTCGATTTCTGTTTTTGTAGCAACAATATCCTGTACCCAAAAGAGGACAAGGACCAGAAGATCCTCCTCTATGCGTGCCGCAACTGCGATCACCAGGTAGCTCATTCTTTCTACGTCTCCTTGGATTTAAATTTTTTATTTTTTATAACTATGTTTTCAAATGTCTGCAATTTCAATGCGAAACCCAAATGCCTCCATGTAATGTGGGCTCTCAGTAAACTTTGTTCTTCTGCTCAGTACTTACTACTACACTTGCCCAAATGCATCATAATCTCATTTATGTAATTAGGATTAACATCTGAAGATTTTCTCAATGAGGGGATTTAATTTAATTTAATTTTTTGGGGTGTAGTGCATTAAAAATTCTATATCTTTTTAGAACTGTGTCTTATTCTGATAACCACCTTTTTATTGGAGAGTTCCCGTTAGCTCTTACTTCTTTCTTTATGGGTCACGTTAAAAATTTGTACCCGGCAGAAGTATCTGATTATTCAGGCCTTCTTTGTATGGTCTCTTATGAAGTTACTTTCTAGAGTCTAGCTTGAGTCTTCGGGTTGCTCTGTGCTCTAATCACTTTGCTGCACTGTAGGGTTTTATCACTTCTGGTTAGAGGTCTCTTCGTGGCTCCTCCTTCGTTTTATATAATTGCTTACTTATTAGATGTTTTGTTTTTTTGTTTTGTTTGCAGGAGGTTGCTGACAACAACTGTGTCTACAGAAATGAGATACACCATGCTGTTGGGGAACGCACTCAAATATTGCAAGATGTAGCTGCAGATCCAACTCTCCCTCGAACCAAAGCGGTGCGGTGTTCAGAGTGCAAGCATGGAGAAGCTGTCTTCTTTCAGGTTAATAACCAATCCTCTATATGTTGCATTGAATTTTATTGCTAGTTTTGCCTTTTCATTTAACTTTTTCGATTACACAGGCGCGTGCATGTGCACACACACACATATATATAGAGAGAGAGAGTGAGCGAGAAAGAGGTGTCTAACAATGTGACTTTAAAATTTTAATGTCACATAACATATTTTTACCCTTTGCTAGTTTGATGAAATGCCAACTGTTGATAATTAAGTCTCTATCATTTAATGGTTGGATTTTCATGACAACTTGGAATCTAGTATCTATCTTATTGAATACTTACCATCAGGGAACCAAAAAAAGAGAGGAAAAAAAAACGTCGGGATACTATCATAGCTTAGCTACTTTACTAATGCATCAGTGAAAAGATTTTCATGTATTTGCTTTCTACTTTAGTAATTAAAAGTTATTATGCCCTTTTTAGACTTCAATAATTGCTTTCCTTTTGTCTCAGATATCGATTTTCATGTATTCATTGCTTTCCACTAGTATTGAGCTCTAGTTTTGTGTTATCGTAGAGAGATTGGTTGGCCACGTGTACTGCAACATCTGTGTCCATTTTTCAGTCAAAAATCCACCACCGTGGCATAGGGCAGCTAGATTCTTTTCTTTTGTCTTCTTTATTTTATTTGGGGCATATGGAGTCTATACATCTGTATTATACAGAGATACCATTTTGAAAAATCAGATTGAAGTCACTGCACTCCGTAGTTGTTTGTTTACTCTATTTAATTGCACTCCTTGAATGGCCGAACCAAAAACTCCTAGTAATCTCTGAACAATTTTGTCTAGTTTACGGTGCTTCTAATGCTATAAGTTTATTATGCATGTGCAGGCAACTGCTAGAGGAGAGGAGGGTATGACATTGTTCTTTGTTTGCTGCAACCCCAGCTGTGGCCATAGGTGGAGAGACTAATATTTATGCGCTCCCTTTGTGTGTTCGGATTTCATCCTATCAAAAAGATGTATTGTTCCCCAAAAATATGACATTGTTCTTTGTTTGCTGCAACCCCAGCTGTGACCATAGGTGGAGAGACTAATATTTACGCGTTCCTTTTGTGTGCTCGGATTTCATCCTATCAAAAAGATGTATTGTTCCCCAAAAATGTTACTTTAGGAAGGAGACACTGACATGGAGGTTCTAAAGACTTGTTGAGTTAATTGTAAAATGTTTAGTATTAAAAAAACACAGGCAGTCCAGCATGCATTTGCATTTGCTTGGAATATCGTTCAATATAACAGTTGCCCTTTTTTTCTTTTTGATTGGGAGTGGATTAAACAATTACTTTCTTCATAATTGGACATTTAGTCCGTGAAAATAGTCTCTAGAGTGGGAGAAATTTTTATTTATTTTGGATACACCACGTGGCTGGTGTATCATCCAATGAACATAAGACATGTGAAATTATTGTCGAACTTACTGCATTTCTTTTTATAACACGTGGCGGGCTGCATTGCAAATATTCTGTGTCTTCCATCTATTGGATGGTACACTAGTCACGTAGTGTACCCGGAACACCCAAAAATTACTCAGTGAGTGGTTTTCTTTGAAGCACCGCCTGCCCAATGCTCAATTCGAATCTCTATTTGTATTGTGGGCGAGGGGTTAGGTAGGAAGCTATAAGGCAACCATGAATAAGGAAGATACAAGTTATGCATTGAAATGAAAAATAACACAGATGCATGCGAGACTATTAAGACTGAAATCTCTCCTTTTTTCCTTTGTTATAATTAATGATAAAAACCGAGTATATACAAGAATGAATTCTCCGGGGGAAAATTTACAAGACCACCAGGTAATTGCCTCTGCGATCTTTTTTGCCTTCTAAAAAGAATATCCAAAAGGTTAACGCATTTCCAAAATTGAACCTATGGTACAATGGAAAAGCCTATTTAAGGTAAGTAAAATATCTACAAAAAGTAAAAAAAGAAGAAAAAGAACATCAAGGGGCAAAAACCCAGATGGTCTGCTTCAACTCATTAATGAATCAATTTCTTTACGTAACTATAGGTGCTACAAGAATGATATTGTCTCTGTGAACCAGTCTGATATGCATTTCAATTTCGCTAAAAGCTCTTTATCTGATGTGCGCTTGACCGCATTGCTTTCAAGATAGGTTTCAGCATTTAACAACATGACCTTAAAGTCATGCTTTAGTGCTTCCAAATTTCGATAGTAGTTGTTCTCTAACCTAGACTGGATCACGTCAAGAGATATTGGAACCGCACACCTGAGAAAATTCCAAAACACAAAACTACATTTCAAAATCTCAGATAGCACTTGAGAGAAATTCCATCACGGCCGGTACAACAGACACGCAAGTGTTAGCATGCATGACATTGAAATTGAACACAACATAACGGGAATGCTATAATATAACGAAGATATACCAGTTTGTAAACTTCGGCTTCTGTTGAAGTTGCTTCAGCTTATCAACGCCAAAAGAATCCTGAATTGTACACAACGAAATTGAGAAAAATCCTTGTAAGTCTTCAAAAGTTAGCCATATGCAGCATTTAACAAAATTAATTTTCTAACTATAAAAAGTAAAGGGTGTTTTTTTCTCCTTATTACCTGGCGACTACCAGCAGATCGCTCTAGTTCGGCAATGGCAGAAAGCAGCTTCATTTTGCTCTTATCATCAATGCGAGGCTGCTCCCATTGAGTATTGGAGTCAAAGAGCTCCCAAGGACTATGTAGCTGTGCATCACTAGGATCATACTTGTACTGAACAGTATACATCTCCCATGGACTGTCGGGGAAGTTGGTAGATTTATACTGTTTCAGCTTAATCCTCCCCTCCCACCACTTACCATCATCCTCACCCTCATTTTTCCACCAGACTTTGCAATGATCCCTACATGCCCAATTTCTCTCTATAGAAGAGACATAGCGAGTTCTTTCGACAATGAAGTCTGGGAAACCAGTAACTTCAGGCAGAGTCATTTTGAAATATTTACCATACACATCAGAAGTAGGATCTACAAATTGAAGTGTCAATTTGCAGCAGCTATCCCCAGACCCTGCAAGTGAAGAATACTCCAGGTCTTCAACTTTGCAAAATTCTACAGCTCTTATTCTCCCCTTTATAAATGTCCACGGTGGGTTTTCTCTCAATCCACCAAGTTCGAAATACTCTTGATGCCCCTGGTAAGAAAGGAAAAAGAAAAAAAGGAGGTCACCAAGCTATGCGATATAATCAACATTCACATGACAACCAAAACCAAAACAAAAAAGGGCAGTCCAGTACAAGCTCTGGCTAATGTAGGGCCCTGGGATGGTAAAGCATACACAGCTATATCCCTATTTCCAGAGATGCTGTTTATGCGACCTGTTTCCAGAGATGCTGTTTATGCGACTTGTGTAGGTCGCTTAGGGTAAGCCATAGGTTTGCACCAAGGCACAATCTCATGTCAAAACTAACCTACCCGCCCCCTGAAAAGTTAAAATAAAAAGGGAAAAAGACCAGCAGCAATCTATAAAGAAACCTGTCTCAAATAAACGACTTCATCCCCTAACTGGGGAATATATCGTGAGCTCTCCTCATGTGTTGACAACATTAACCATGATACTTTCCTTGCTGACTGATGCGACTTCCTTCTATCCATTGGATTCATGTCACGGTAACTGCTTCTTCTGTTTCTAGTAGACCTCAATCCGACTGTTGTCCTTGAACTTGATCCCTGTTCTTCATTCCGAAGTTGAAACTTGTCCATGGAACTTTTCTGGTTACTTCTAAATGTATAACCTGTCTTATGTCCTTGGCCCATCTTATCATCATGATCTACACTACTTGGATCACGTGCAGATGCCTTCAAACCCATGGACCGTGTCCTGCGACCTCCATCAACTGACTCATCATGAAAGTCCACTCCAGCAATGAGATTGTGGTTGCTTGTATTTGAAGTATATACACAGCCTTCTTCCTTGACGCCACTATCACCTTCTAAATTAATTCTACCCCTATGTGGTTTCACCCTTCTATAAACAGCACTGAACATTTTGTTTTTATGTAAATGGGACTCGACTGATTCATGTATACCAGAAATGACATTCTTATCAGATTGATTGTCTGATTCTCGTGAGCCATTGTATCTATCATCTGGAATAAATTTAGGGGTTCCATCATCCTCTGGCACAACTGGATCCTGTTCCATGCTTGAAAGGCTTTCATGTAATGTGTTACATCTACCATTTTCCAAGTTCTCTACCACAGAGAACATTTCCTGTTTGCAAGGACTAGGATCCCTTGAAATCCTCCTCAACCTCAATTTTGTTGAGACAGTTGTGAGCTTCTCATTTTGTTCAGAAGAGAAAACAGTCCTGTCCTTATCAAGGCATGAGGAAGTGCTTGCATCCCAAGGAGCCATGTGAACAGATTTAGGCGATTGATCATGATCCTTGCATTCACTAAAACCTGATTGCTCTTTGGCATTGGTTTCACCATTAAGGCCCTCAGAGGTACTAGCCCCAATGGTTTCCTCATTCCCTACAGCCATTGTATCTCCATACATTTGGCTTTCTGATTGAGGTGACATGGTTCCAAAATGATTTTCAGGTTTTGTGTACTCTTTTTCGTTACCAACGACGGTTGCACTGGCTCTGGCAAGTGCATCCAATGACATGGATTCTCCCGGCCTCAGACGCTTGGATGTTCGCACTCTGGACCCTCCCCAACTAATTCTCCCATTTTTGTAATTCTCAGTCAAATCTACATGATTTTCTACTTTGTATAATTGCCCACCCACTGCTGTTTCAAATATGCTGCATTTTTTATCACCAAGTGAGGACCCTGGATCCTGAGAGCTTATATTGTTGTTTGCTTCGGTTGCTTCTTGAGGTACTCTACATGATTGGTCAAGCAAACCATCCTGATTACCACAATTATGTACCGTGCTTTCTCTAGACACAAGCTTATTTGAGTCCCGTCTTGGCAATTTAAGCACCAATCTCCTCCTGTTCCCAGCATTTATTGGAAATTCATGACGTTCATTAGGTTTAACCATGTCCTCAGACTCATCCAGTGAAACCTCTTTTCCTTTTGAATGTTTGGTTTGCTGATTTTGTTTATCAGATCCATCACTCTCAATGTTTGAATCTTGCAGGGTGGATTCACTTCCTGACATATCTTCTTCTGATCCATCTTCATCTTCTCCATCTGCAGATCTTCCAGTAATCTTAGAAAATAGAGTAAGAGCGTTGAGTGCAGCAGCTCTTTGAGGTCTCAATGACTTTGATGTGGAAGATTTCTTTCTTGAAGCTTTTCGGCCATGTCTAGATTTCCTCGTTCTATTACTTCTGAATGGATTGCCAGCACACTCATCCAAATTCTTTCTTTTGACACACCTTCCAGAAGAACTCATGACTTCAACCTGAGGAAACAGAAAGGGGGAACATTAAAGCAGATTCAAGCAGGCCCTAACCAAAACTAAACTATAATTTGTTATTGACAGAGAACTTACATCAGCCTTTTGTTTTTTCCTTTTAGATCTACGAAGTCCATCCATTTGAGCATCCTCAGCCTCGCTGTCTTCTTCACTGCACTCTGGATCAATAGAGGGATTTGAACTTAAACTTCCTTGCTCCCCTCCAGTAGAATAATCTTCAGTAATATTGTACTCTGAATCAGTATCATCACTTTGCATTTCATTTTGCGGTTCCCAATCCATGGCATCTACAAACTCTGGCATAGGATCAGCCAACATATCCAAGTCTGCAATAGGCAGCATTTGGAAATCCGGATCTACACTGAAGTCAGGCCCAACAGCAAGTCTTAGAGAGGAAGGACGCCACTCGGAACCCAAAGCTCCTAACCGCCTTTTCTGGTATGCACTCTGGTAGGGTTCTTCATATGGTATCATGCCTAGGTTTTCACCAAAAACCAGTGCTCGAGAACATAAACATTCCAGAAGAGATAAATTTCATACAGGAAAAGGAGTAGAGAGAAACCTGAATCGCAAAGTAGATCCTGCATATTCCGCCGGTATGCTGAAAGCTGAGTTTCCTGAAACAAATGTTGCAGATAATTTCAAACTAACAAGCATTGCAAATATATATTTGGAATGAAGTTATGGTAGGTCAATCATGCATGTACATCTATACTATTATAGAATGGCAGGCACTGGGTTTTGGCTCACTTAAACTATCAAGTCTCTAAGAAGAAATTTGAAAGTTGGTCCTACTATCCCGAACAGTTAAACTAATTTCTCTCAGCCAGTCCTCTGCATGCAGTTACCAATCCATCAAAACCGCCACTGAGACCACACACAGAGTGAATGCATAACTAAGAGAGAAAAATAAAGAATCCAAAGAGCCTTTGTCAAGCATGGAATTGTGCGGCCAAATGAGGGGTCTTTATGTGATCAATAAGACATGAAAAGGAACAGACACGACAGGTACACCTGAGTTTATCATGGTACTAGTGATGTAAAGTGCAGCACAATTCATTTAACACTCCCTATCATTGAATTATTGCTTATGTAGTTTATTCATCTCCTTGAACTAACCAGAAAAGGAAAACCAATTAAGAACAATAGTGAAAAGGGCCAACTAACCTGGTCAAGAACATTTCCAAAGCTATCATGAATGATTGGGCGATAATCACCAAGAAAAAACTGCCAAAGAAGCGCACCAGCAATAAGTACCACTTGGGAAAAAAGTGTAAAAGAAATCCCCCAACTCATTAAGTAAAATTATAACCAAATATTCAGTATTAAGTTAAAAAAAAAAAGGAGGGGGACAACCATACCTGGTCATATTTTGCATCATTGTGCGACTCCCCCTGGCCACTGTCTAATATGTATAGTTGGCCAACATCATCAGAGAGGATAATTGATGTCCCATCCCTATATTACATAGAAAGAACCCTTTGTAACTACAGGAAAACAGTTAGGAAGGCAAAAGCATATTGCAAGAAATACAAGCTTGAAAGAAAAGAGAGATATTGTTGGGGGGGAATGTCAACTGATAGGATCTGCCATGCAAATGAGAAGCAAACACGACTAATCAGCATGGCAGTAAGGATTCAACGCATCGCAAGGTTGAAAGCTACATAGGACTATGGAAAGCTAAGGCAGAAAATACTATATAAAGCTGGAAGCAGTTTCAATAATATTATGAGCAAGAGCAAGATATCATATAGCCAATTTGAGTACCTATGAAACAGGATTCCATTCAATTATAATTAGATAGAAAATAGATAACATTTTAATGTCAATACAATAAGTTGGGTATAAAATTTCCAAAATCAAGATTTCTTAATCTTCACTTACGGTGAAAACTTTCCGTCTACCAATCTGAACTGTGACGTTTCAAATATCCGGATAGGCATGCCTTCCCATATCTGAAATTGAAAGTCAACAAAGCATTCGAAACCATAGAACATAAAAAAAATAAAATTGCAAGTATGATAAGGAAACTGGAAACTCACATCCCAGACAATTGTTTTTCCGTCATAGCCAGCGCTCATTGCTATCCTGGGGTTGAAAGGATGAACATCCAGAACATATGTCTATCAAGAACACAAGTTAAAAAGATCAGATATTTAAGTTTTACTTGTTCAATAGGTAAAGTACCCAAACAAAAAACCAGCTAAAGATATCTTCAAAAGAGGAGTGGCAGAAGTAACCAATGGATGAACATGTGAGTAATGGAGGTATAGGTAGGCAATATTAGCATAAGTAACCAATTCATGAACACCAGCTAGAAGACTAGAATACTAAAGCAGGATATTGGGCAAACAATAAACAGCAAAACCAGTCCCCTATGTAAAAAGGCCACAGTTGTTCTGCAGCACTAAGACATTGTAGGTAAGGCAACAATAAATAAACAGGCTTAATTACTACAGTGTGCACTAAGATCAAAGAATAACCAACACCAAAGACAGTATCCACAACAATTCTGTGTCATGTTAAAAAAAAAAAAAAAACTAATATGGTACCGGATATATATTTGTTCCACTTGTGGAAACACACTCTACTGAACTCGGTCTATTCACCATGCTTCTCTTTGCAAGGTCAAATAACAAAATACTGGAAAAGAGAGAGAAAAAAAAGGGCAATCAAGAACAAAGAGAATGAGCCACATACAGATTCACTGTGACCTGTCAGTGAATGCACCAAGCTACCATCAGATGCATTCCATACACATATTCTGCAATCTGCACCACAAGAAGAATATCTATTTCTTAAACCACAGAATTTAAGGCCTTCAACTTAATCCTAGTTTGTAAAGGCATTAGAAAAATACTACCTAATGCATATCAGTAATATACTAATAAATAGACAATAAGTAAGAAACAACAAAGTAATTACCCATAATAGCAGCAAGGACAAAGCGATTGTCAAGACTCCAGGTAATCATATTAACACCACGAGGAGTTGGAAGAATTCTCTGGCGAGGGCCTCCTCGTGGAGGCTGAGGAGGCATTGGTGGAGGGGGAACTTTCAGATGATATGCCCGCGTCCAACGACCAGCTTTTCCCTGGAACATGAAATTTGCTATATGATTTTTCTATTTAAAGCAGAAAAATTCAAGAGAAAGACGGTGGATACAATTGTTTCATTTGAAAAGCTTTCTGAGAAAAAGGGCAGGCTAGAAGAACAGGAAGTTACAAGTTATCTTTCCAAAAACTTACATGTGATCTTCGTGATCTAGGAATCCAGATAATTGCACTGCCATCGCGAGAACAAGTAACTATATTGTCATGATTGAACCTGGAAAATTAAATTTATTGTGCGCATTACTGGTAGTGATATTATTTCCCCAAGGCAAAATATAGAATAGATAGCTAAAAGGGCACCAGGGTAGGGGAAAACATTTGAACTCATCAAGGCGTATTTAACATCACAATCAAAAAGAAGAGAAAACAAACCATGAATTTTTAAACTTTGGAATGTTGTCTTCCTTTGAGGTGTCAGCTGCCATGAATCTAGATACTACAGCACAACCACTGCAATGTATGAAGCAACATAAATCAGCATGCAAAGATTGATATATGCATATATATATCATTGGCAAACTACCAGTACAATCTAACCTAAATTGTACGTAATTGACATCATTCTCATGGCCAGATAACACATCAATCTCATGATTTGGTTGGTCTGACTCATCTGAGCCTGGCTTAGAAGCAGTCCACACCTACAACCAGCTAGCTATTATTAGTAGAAATATATAGATGATAGCTTTATTTCTGATTCATATCTGACCACACTGAAAATTTTCAGATACAATTCATGAGTTTATTCATTACTCATAGAGGTGCAATATTTGTATTTTACTGAATGCAAAAGTGAGGATAGCGACTAAACAGAAGGTTGCAGAAATAATAACAAGGATCATAGAGGTTTAGTATACCCTTGCAAGAGTGTCTGAGCTACCAGTGACAAAGAATGTTCCATTAGCATTAAATGCACAACAAAAGATTTGATGGCTCTGTGAGACAGTGCTGGAGGATGGACCACTGTTTCTCCCTGCAGCCAAGCAATTACACAACCACACTAAGTACTCTTTCACCAGTAAATAAGTTAGTTGATTTTAGCTGCACTAGGGAAACAACTGACCAACTATAGCATCTGAAGGTCTTGGAATGTATATCCTTGGACTCACTTGAGAATTCCTGGCATCCCATATCCTACAGGTTCCATCATCAGATGAACTGCAAATGACAAAGGAACAGCACAAGGTTATTACATGGAAAAAGACTTAACAATTTAAAAAAAAAAAGTTGTCCACAAAAAACACATCGCAAGCATAATAAAATATTCACATTCATAAACAAAAAACTACGATGATATTGAATAAGCAGTCCAGCTAAAATGCAAGCATAAATTTAACAACTATCATCGCTGCACAGCTAATGGAAAAGAACCTTTTAGTACAGAAGCCAGCCAACCTACATGGACCACACTAAAAAAAAGGTATTTCCTAATATACAGTAGAAACTGATGTCACAAAGAAACCTTCTTGTGATATTACCCTCAACATATCCACCTCCACCCTGCATTTATTCTAAGAATTTCTCCAATTACTCGTCAATCAATACAAAAAAAAAACAAAAACAAAAACAAAAAATCCCATTAAAAAGCAATGTTACAAAACTGTCGACTTTTTCCCTCAACCAAAAGCATAGTAATTCTCAAAGAACAATGAAATCCACGATCCCTATCTCAATAACCCATCCCTAGCAATGTTACAATCTCTGATGTCCAATTTACTAACATTCCATTTTTGCTGACACTTCGCACCCTATGAACCAGACAATACATTGAAAGGCCTAAATAAATAATAAACGAAAGAGAACAAAACTTGATCATAAGAGACTTCGAAATTCTACACTCCCAAAAACATTTCCAAAGAGAACAACACAAACATGTAGGTGAGGTGATAAACTGGGAAAAGGGAAGAAAGGGAGCCATATATAAAAAAAAAAAAAAATAGTAATAATAATTATGAAAATGAATTCCCCATGCATTCACTAGTTTAGATAGACTCCCAAAGAAAAACCAGTATCAACAAAAGGATCAGCAAGGTCAGACAGAAAAGTAAATTACTTACAGCTAATTAGAAACTCCACATGAAAATTTATTTAAATTGATAGAGGAATTGGCCTTACGATAGAAGCTGGTACATAGAGCCTGGCCTGGGATTAAATGTAATGGCAGTAACAGCTCCAGTATGTCCTCGCAACACTGATATTGGCAGCCCGTCTGGCAAGCGCCACTAGTAAACAAGAAAATTTATAGTAAGTTAACACTGAGTGTCCAGCAAAGGTTAAAAAATAAAAAAGAACGTAAAATGCAAAATAGATGAACAAAACTTATATATTTAAACACAGATGAACCTTACCACTCGAATTATAGTGTCATTTGAGGAGGATGCCACTAAAACATTGTTGGAACTCACAGCCAGATCCGTGATGTCCCCCTTAAAGCATAAAATGATTAAAATTAAAGGGGAAAATGGATAAGTAATCTTTGAGGGGCCAATAAGAACTTACTTCATGTCCACGGCAGCTGGCCAAGCAAAATGCAGTTTCCATTAACCAGATCTTCACTAGGCGATCATCTGAACCAGTAATAACATATCTCCCTGAGCGATCAAATGTTGCTGCATCATTCATGTCCAAATAAACCACCATGAGAACTATACCACATTTTAAAGGTGTGCACTACAAATTTGATAGAGAGAAACAGCAGACAAAAGTTCACAATATTAGTTAAACTGAACAAGGAAAAAGAAGAAACTATACAAAGATAGAACTGAAGTTCAACGTCAAACAAGAATGGGATTCACACCATTTAAAGATGCGTACTTAGATTGAAAATCCATAATCAAGACTATAACCTTCTATTCTAAAAACACTGAGAACGAATTATCCCATCCTATGCGGGTAATTAACTATCAAATCATATAGAGCTGAATAATGCAGCAAGCCAAAATCTATGTACATAAGAACAGAGGTTACTCATGTCAGCCAAAACTTTGACATGAATATTGCCAGTATCTTAGTATCTTTGAGCATTCCCAAAATATTACAGTACCAGACAAACAGAGCCACAGTTTCTCAAATAAGCTGTATAGCACACCCCCAAAATGAAATGAATCACCAAGAGAACATGACCAGCAAAGTGAAGGGATATGAGGAGGAGAATAGATTATAGAAGTGTTTTTTTTATCTTTCTTATTTTTGATTGGCTGTCTGGACAGAAATTAAGCTTACAATCATTAGTTGAAGATATTTTTGGAATATTAAAAAGTAAACAAAGCACAAATCTCATTTTCTCTCCAAATGAGTGGACAGAAATTGACAGAAACATTAATAGTTCAAGATCGGAATATTAAGAATTTAAACAAGACAGAAATCTCTCCAATGTTGGAGGTATGAAAAAAATTGTGCCCTTAAGAAAGAAACTCCAAAAAAAACATGTAAACTAAACTTCCAAATCTACCTAGATAATAGTTCTGAACTCCGATTTATGAGAACACATACCACAATAGACAGCGTTTCGATGTCCCCTTATCCTTGTAGTATTTTTCATCTTCTGAAACATGGTCAATGGCTTTGCAATGGCATAAGATGCAGCACGGATAGATGGTGCACGGTTATGTCTGGTGAATCCTCCCCCAATTTCTCTCAAGCTTAGCCCATGAACCTGATGAGCTTTCGCGTGAGGCCAACGCATGTGAGCAGGAGGGCGTTTCATTTCTTTGTTTACTTGATCCCTTTCATCTGAAAGGGAGAAGGTGTTCCCTTTTAAATACAATGGGAAAATGTACCCTTTGCAGGAGTTCAAATGAAAAATGATGATGATAACAGTAAAACACATGCAAATGTTGCAGATAGAACTTCCAAAAGGAGAGGGAAAACACATTCAAACCCCCAATGCATGGATGATTGAACATGATAACAGTATTGAAACTTGAAATAAATTATAAGATACATATTGCAAACAAAATTTGAAAAGAAGAAAAACATTGGTCATTTACTAGACAATTCATCCAACAAAAGGCACCACAAAGAATATGAATTAAAAGCTCAAAGCTTAAATAAATGTCACCTACAGGTCAGAAGTGAGAATGAACGCTGCCCCAAGAGAGTAGGTACATCAGCTGCATTTGGAGCATTTCCACCACACATACCCCTTGATGGTGGGGCTGTACTTGAAATCAATTGCTTCAAAAGCTTTACCAAGTGATCATTTTCAATGTGAGGATACCTAAACAACAGTGAAAGGGAATCAATAAAATGATATAGAAAAACAAAAAATATAATACAATCATGCTTATTTTCTTCACAGACTATGACGACTGGCATGATGAATGCTGGAATAGAATTATGTAATAGAACAAGAAGGCGCAAGTAGGTTTTATAAGGAGAAAGAAAAAGGGTGCCCTATACATTGGGGTTATAGAAAGCGGACAGCCAAAAGAAACTAAGATCTAGAATCTATAGAAACCAACACATCCTCGGTAGAAGACCAAGATGCCAAACTCGCATCCATTTGAATAGAGATGAAGTGAAAAGAGGACCTTATTTTCTGGATAGTTTCACATGATACCCAAAAGTCAAGAGCAGCGCTAAAAAAACTCATGTTGTTTGCGTTGTTGGTGAATTGTTTCTCCGGGGGAAACAAAATTGTTATATGACTTATAATGTGTCTATTTTTTCATTGTTTTTGTTAAAACAACATGATTTATAAAATAAATAAAAAAGATAAATAGTGAATAATAATATGATATGAAAGGAGTATTTCAAAATGTTTATTTACTATATCCACTAAGCGGATGCTAGAAGTAGGTCTCTATTTAGGATAGTCAGATGTGTACTTTAAACTAGTTCTCTCCTTTATATTTTAAATATAAGAATAATAAATAAACCCGTCAGATGTATAGTTTACTTAATAAATGAAACAATGTTTTCATCAGTGGATGGAAGACAAGAGTTTTAGTTATGACTCAATAATAGATTAGTTTATATCAAAGGATCATTGAGTACTACTTTGATATTTAACAAATATATGATGAAGAAACTTGATTGATCTTATATTTGCAACCAAAGAAAAAAAAAGTACTACTGTATATACAAATATATACACATATATATTATATATCACTATACTTAATTTTATCAAATTTTAAACAATGTGGCAAAGTCAAAGGTCCAAGTATTCCTCTGACTTTGAAAACACCATATACTACAATGAGGAATAATCTTCCAGACTGCACCATTACAAGGGGTACTAAAAACAAACATCATGCAGATCCCCAACACCAGACAACTGAAAAGCAAAACACCAGAACTCCCTAGCAAGTTAGCAACAGAGCAACAATAATAGATTATCAATTATTACCAGAAGTAATCAATTAATGCCACCCAATATTTAGCATCATAAGTTGCAGGGAAACATAAAGAAGATTGCCTAAAAACTGCCTATATATATTGTAAAGAGAGATTTATAAAAAAAAGCATACTACATACCTGTGGACCAACATGTTGTAATTTAATGGAAATGATTTTCCATCATCATTTTCATCCCCACTGTGTAGGCCGTTTCTTGAATACCAAGCATGATATCTTCTAGGTAAAAGTTGATGTTCAAGAAGTTCGTTCCAAAATTGTACACAAGTTCTACGACATGGTCCAGCTGACAGAAAATGCATAATTAGAAAATACACTTCTCTGAGGTCAATATCCACATCAGGTTCCTTAGCAGGACTTGTCTCTAGATCCTCTGATCGATTGTTGTCATGCACCTTACTGAGAAAGCTCAAAGGTTTCATAGTAACAGAAGGTGCATCACGAGAAGGAAATTTTTGAAGAGCCATAGCTCCTGTAAAACCTACAAGTAAAGGATCAGCCATTTACTATGCAATCATCACTGTCAAACACAATGTATTTAACAAGAAGCAGCAATTTTCCTTTTTTATTTTTTTATTTTTAACCCACGGTAAGTGAAGATGGCTAAGGTACAAAGTGGTACACATGGATTCTGCATTCGTCTTACTAAGATTTAGCGCATCAACGAACAACATCTAGCTAAGCAAACACTTCTTAAGTCTCAAACTCCAAAACCCTAAACTAAACCAGAAGGTAAAATGCAAAACAAGTCCCACTGCATCTAACCATTTTGCCATTCACACGAGACCATATATGCAATACCTAAATTAGATAGCATTGAAGTTACTGGAATACCTATTCAATACTCCAAAATTAAATCTCATCGAAATAACCAATTCAAATTTCCCTTGGGGGGGAACTGACCTGCTGAATGAGTCATGTAATTCATTTAACCAGATGGGCAATCCCAGAAAGCACAAAACTCCATACTACACTCATGAAACCCTTATATTCCAGAATCCATAATGCATTCCTCTGTGGCAACCAATAAAAACCCTAAAAGTTCAATTCTTTTGCACTGCACTACAATTCAATACACACACATAAACAAAGAGAGCAAAAAAAATGCACAAAATCCAAAACATACCCAATAACAGAACCCCTTATCTAAATTCTGAGAGCAACAAAAATACCAAATTACAACAAATAAATTCAAAAAAAGAAACTATCTTTCTCTGAGTACCTTCAAGACGACATGTTTCAGGAGAGTAGTGTGGCGGCGCCCGGAGGATTTGATGAAAAGCAGTGGGGATCCAAAGGTGGGAGAGTTTGCAAATATCAGAAATTTGGAACCAAGAACAAATATCAATTCAGTTTTTTTCTATTAAAAAGAAAAGATGGGAATTTGAGAGTGTGTGCGCAGCACGTGCGAGAGGAGGGGAATTTTTTTAGATTCTTGGAGGGAGCTCTTAGCTCTGTGGGTTTTTGGTTGGGCTCTTTTCTCAGTCTCTCTTTCTTTCTCAGAGCGAAGGGAAGCCGAGAGAAGATACAAGGGGTTCAACGAGGCGTTTTTAACCTTTATGCCCCACTCTACTTCCGTAGATGCTTTGGTCAAATAAAAACTTATAAAATATTTCGCATGCGTGATGCGGTGCAACGTGTGACGACGTCGTATTGTCGCCCTAGGTTTCCATTGGCCCTGCCATGTGTACTTTTTTTTCACTTTTTCTCGTTACGAAAACTTACTCACGTACGGTTTTTTAAAATTTATCGTACTTTGTTACTGCATGACACAGAAATATTCATAATTCAAAAGTTTATAATGCAAGTCATGCACGTAGGATTATCTGCCCTATTGCCTCCTCTATTACAACGTCTAGTTTTCTGGGTTGTCCTTTGGGTGCTTTTTTTTTTTTTTTTTAATTTTTTTTTTTTTTGGGGATTTTTTTTTTTTTTTTTTTGCCAGGGTGGGTG